TTTACTGCCCATTAAATATTTTATTTCAGTGCATATATTTTTGATGTGTAAGATTTCCAGTTGCTTCTTTTTTTATGTAATTTTATTTCTTGGCAATGCTGGGGTCAAACTCGCGGCCTCGCACTTGACAGGCAAGAGCTCCAGCACTGAGCTGCGCCCCCAGAACGGTGTTGCTCAGTTTCTTGAAGGCTGTGATATCTTCCTATGGAAAGTTTTGCTTACCTTTACACAGCACTCCAAGCTCTTTCCTGGGTGTTAGTTTATCTAGCCATTAAATTTTATGCTTCTTTTTCAAGGAAATGATTTTCCTGAAGTGATTTTGAGTTTTGGTTTTAAACTCATCCATATATTTCGGAATCATTGACAGCTTATTCTGTTTCCTCTCATTTGTCTCTGTTGACTGTATGAAAGAAGCAGTGCTTGCAGTTTGGGGGACAGAGAAGCCCTGCCTTTTCGCTGTGTGTTGGGTGAGTCTCTAGCCCAAATACTGCATTCTCAGTGTCTCCTCCTGCTGTTGTCCCCATAGACTGCTCAGGAGGACACTGTGTGCTCTCTGTGTGGCGGAATCTTATGTCTATTCAGAAAGATCTGCCTTCTCTCCTGTCGTAATCTTTTCTTCATGTTGGGGATTTTCTCTGAACTTTTGATCCTGATTGCTTTTAAGTCTTCCTCAAAATTTCTAATTAGCTATTTGCATTTATTTTTTCTTTTCTGGTTCTATTATATTTGACATGTATCTTTTCACTCATTATGTGGAATTTTTAGTGAAAAAGACGTAAGAGTATGTATTTACACTGCAACATAGAATCCCTAAAAATAGTGGGCTATCGTCCTGATATGTGCTTTTAAATAAATGGTTCAGGAGCACATCTACAAATAGTGTTCAAGCTTAGGACTAGTGTTCTGCAGTTCCTGTACTACACTTGTGAAGTTGGTTACTAAATATCACATTACATACAATGGAGTTCTACTCTGCCATAAAAAAGGACAAACATGGGGGCCTGCCCATTAGCTCAGGTGTTTAAGTGCCTGCTAAAAACAAGAAGTCAGGCTCAGGATGCTGTGGTTCTATCCTCTCATCCTCAAGCCAAACCAGACCTGCCCTGGAGGC